GAGGAGAGACAGCCAAGGGAGAGAACGAGGAGAGACAGCCAAGGGAGAGAACGAGGAGAGACAGCCAAGGGAGAGAACGAGGAGAGACAGCCAAGGGAGAGAACGAGGAGAGACAGCCAAGGGAGAGAACGAGGAGAGACAGCCAAGGGAGAGAACGAGGAGAGACAGCCAAGGGAGAGAACGAGGAGAGACAGCCAAGGGAGAGAACGAGGAGAGACAGCCAAGGGAGAGAACGAGGAGAGACAGCCAAGGGAGAGAACGAGGAGAAACAGCCAGGGGAGAGTACGAGGAGAAACAGCCAGGGGAGAGTACGAGGAGAGACAGCCAGGGGAGAGTACGAGGAGAGACAGCCAGGGGAGAGAACGAGGAGAAATAGCCAGGAGATAAAGCCAGAAAAGAGAGCGAGAGATAGCGAGCAACACATGTGCCTGAAGCAGAACCCCTGCACCCTTTAAGACTTATCTGCACCCTGTGTTTCAGACACCTCCTTGCTCCCCGAGTTCCAGCATCTATCTGTGTCCCGTGCCTCCTCCATGCACTCAAGTTGGAACCCCAGGACCCCGTGGTTGCCCCAGTCTGCCTGACATCATGACATCTTGTGTTTGGGTTTCAGCTGGCCTGAGACATGAACACTGCGCATACAGGACTCAAAACCCAGACTGTTGGGGTGAATCCCAGACAGGTGGCAACCTTACCCCTATGATTAGGCCCTAAAATGAAAAGCGCAAGAGTGGGCAGGTCCCAGGTAGGGCTTCCTTGTGTATGTCCAGAACAATAAAGTTTTATTAAAATGCTGCTATCAGTGTGTGGCTGGTCTTTTGCAGTTATGTTCGTATGGTGGAGTGTGGACCAGCCCCATCCTGCCTCAACCTCAGTTACCAGACACTGGCATAGGAAGCAAGCTCGGAAGTGGTCACATTTTCTGTTTTTAGTTCAGGCTTGATCTCTGCATTGGTCTGCTCTTCATCCAAACACATCAAGGGAGCATGCGGGATGCAGCAAGATGTTCCCGGATGTCTTCTGCTAGGTTCATATTAGTGATGAAGGTACCTCCAGAAATGACGGCACACCCAAAGTTCTTCTTTATTATGATAATACCCTTCTCATGGCCCATAGAGGAGTCAGGAATGCAGCTGTCCCTGGAGACACTAGAGGGGGGCCACGTTCCTCCGTGTGCTGGCGTAAAGCTTTTAGCAAGGACACTAGAGGCGTCATGGATGCAGCTGTCTGGGGGGACACTAGAGGGCGCCACGTTCCTCCGTGTGCTGAGGTAAAGCTTTTAGCAAGGACACTTGAGGCGTCATGGATGCAGCTGCCCCTGGGGGGACACTAGAGGGCGCCACGTTCCTGCTTGTGCTGGCGCAGAGCTTGGAGGAAGATCTGCTTCACCTGCACCATCATCTCATTGTAGAGTTTCAGGTCGTCCTCCTTCGTTTTCAGGGCGCTCTTTAGAGCTGATTTTAAAGCTTCGTTTTCTTCTACTTTAATTTCAAGCCTAAAATATGAAGGCGATATTCAAAACAAAGCAACAATATGCATGGCACACCAAACCTGAAGTCTCATCTGGTTCCTCCCTACCCCCTTCATCAACACAGCTAATAATATTCTTAATTACATACATGTTAGGGCCAATTATGTCATCACTGGGTCTCATTACGTACTTTCTTTTCGACCCAATGATGTCATCACGTGGTCTTGACGTGCAATGCAGGCAGACCATGGCTGGTGGGAGGAGCCGGCAGGCTTTCTGAAAACATCATAGCACCGTGCTTCAGTACTCCTCTCCAGAGCCCTCAGCCCTGATGCAAGCAGTGGGTTGGCTCTTTGGAGGATTTATCAAAATGCATTGAGAGGTGGATATCAGTCCGGAGGAGTGGGCATTCCTAGGTGGCCGCAATTGCATGCAGACCACCCTAGGTAACATCCTGAGCCTCCATGATTGAAAGAACTGAATCCAATGAGTAAAAGGGGCGGGGCAGGGACAGTCAGGCTGGGGAGGAAAGTGCTAGATGGTCCAGACAGTGTGGCGGGCTCTGTCTGACTTGCTGCAGCTTCTAATGCACATTGTGAGAAGCTTCCAGTGTGCAGTGATATCAGAGGAAGAGAGGAGCCGGATTGGAGGGAAGTCCGGAGTTCAGCTTTAAGACGGGTGACCCAGCTTTTCTCTTATACAGATAAGCAGCATTGTTTGGTCAATGACCAGCCCACAGCCTGATGAATAGCCATGCAAGAGAAAAAGCACACCGATGACATCATCATCCTGCTATAAGAATGGAGTGATGGGGAGGGAAGAACGCATGTGCTCCCGGGGGACCGGACATGAATGATATATGACAGAACAGCCTGCTTAGCAATGTTATATTCCAGGTATTCTGCAGAGCGTACAGAGCAGAAGCTGTATACTTTCAGACTCTCTATGCGACTGAAACTCGGTATGGACTTGTCTGAACACAGTAAAGGGGAGGATCACAGCTGTGTGTGTAATCCTAGCTTCAGCTATTCAGCTCTGTAAAACAGAAGGCTTATTCCTAGACAGAGTAGAAAGTCAGGTCACCAGCACTCAAAATAATTAAAATGAATAAGTCCTTTTTATTGGACAAGTGTGTCACAATAATCAACAGAGCCGACTTAAAAATAATAAAATAAAAACATTTGTATAACAGAATACGTTCCCTTTAAAACATGACAGCATGGACCCGGAAGCAGCCCAGTAACCCGGACTGGGGAGCAGCAGAGAGCGGACTTACTTTGTGCTGAGCTCCTCGAGCTGAGTCTCCAGTGGAACGTTGGAGGATAAATCGGAGGATTCATTGAAATTCCGGAAGAGTCGGGAGTTGCTGAGCGACTGTCCTATAGAGAGAATATTGGCTGTAAGTCGCGGGGAGTATTCAGTACATTTATACTGAGCAGACAATGGAGACGGAGTGAGGGAGGCCGAACACGGGGCAGCAAGTTACTTAAAGGTACATTAACCTCCCTAAAGCTGGTCACATCCATGTCCTGGTCATGATATACAGGCAGTCCCCGAGTTACATACATCTGACTTACATACGACTCCGACTTACAAACGGAGGCTATTACTGTACAGCAGGGGTAGTTGTGATACTACCGCGCTCCTGCCGACGAGGAGAGCCCGCCTTTTTTGGGTCTGGTTCGTAGTACCGTACGTATTAGTCCTAGCATATTTGTCCTAGCTGCATGGTCACACGCCGATGTTGGGCGGCGTGTGTTAATGCGGCGGGAATCTATACAGAGAGAGGGGAGCTATGGCTGGGATCGATTTAAGGAAGCTGGCGTTTTGATGTATATCCTGAGGCAGAGATTGCGCTTCTCATATTTGATCGCCGTCGGCTCTCTCTCCATCCTCTCTGTTGTCCTTGACTGTTTCTGGGGATGACTCCCCTACTGTGCGGATCCACTCACCACTAATATCCCACTTATGGTATTTATGCTACCTCCAACTTCCTGATGAAGCTTCGGCGAAATGCATAGAAGGCTGGACGCAGTACAGACTTGCAGTATATCTTTTGATTATGACTATTTGTATAAAATTATTTATTATTATGTAATTGTTTAAAATAAGTTCATTGTATCTATTATGCATGCATCATGCACATGTACAGAGTCCAGGGAGGTCTTATGCTGTTTGATCATGGATACTGGCGGGTATATTTTTATTATGTGGATCTTGTAATCTTTTAATAAATAAATGTCATTTTATTATGTAATTTTGTCATTACTATGTTGTATTATCCCTAATTGCATTTTTTGACACCTTAAAAGCCCCATCTCTTTTTTTGCCTAGTACCGTACGTACATTACAGGAAGTTGGCTCTTGTTCGACGTGCATGAGACGGGTGCCCGTCTCTTCTTCCGGGTCACTGTGAGGTTTTTACTGCGGTCTGTATCCTCATTAGAAAGATTTAATCTCACTTCCTGTCCTGGAGACAACAGGAAGTTAATGGAAATCTACCTCTAGAAAGGGAAATTCACTCCTGTAAGAGTAATCATGGGGAAAAAGGTGTCTCCGCTGAAGCTTTATCACCAATCCTTGTTTCCACGACAAACGAAAATTTTCAAAATCCAATTGTCACAGGGACAGAAAGGGAGGGGAAATCTTCTGAACAGGGGCACACACAGCAAAACGTTACAGGGGGTTAACCCTTCCCTATGCTATCCAAAACTAAAAAAATAATTTTTGGCTGGAGTTACACTCAAGAAATGTGGCTGTACCAACTTACATACAAATTCAACTTAGAGAACTATGGGGTCAGGGCTTTTCCCCATAGTTCTCCTAAGGGTGACGGGAGGACACAAACTAGCGTCCTCCCGTTACCCTAAGCTCAGTATATAGGGAGCTACAGCTCGCGGTATACTGAGACGCCGCAGCCTGATCTAGAGGCAGAGCCAGCTGTACCTGACCCCTCCCCCGTCCGATCCACCAGTCAGCGCTATAGGAGCGGGGAATCCAGCCCCTCCCCTGTCATGGCAGAGAGCCGTGACAGGATCGAGAGGTGAGCGAACGCCGGTATGTGTTCGCTCATCTCCCGATCTACTGAGCCAACCTGTGACAGTCTCATTGTCACAGGTCGGCTAGAACTATGAGGTGAGTGAAAAGCACTCACCTCGTAGTTCTCCTTTAAGAACAAACCTACAGACCCGATCTTGTTCGTAACTCAACTAACCAGAAGCCGATTAATCGATGATTGAAGAAGTTGACAACTTTTTCAATAATCGATTATAATCGATTATGTCGATTAGTTGTTGCAGCCCTACTGGGGACTGTCTGTAGTTATACCAAGGTCATGGCTGCTGCTGGCATTCTACTTGGTCACCGTCCTGGGGGCGCTGAATGACCGCAACCCCCAGAATAACATAGTGACTTGACCAAACGCATAGACTTTACGTGGCAGCATGGTGTAATGCCTATTGTGGGGTTGCCAAACCCATTTGTAGGGCTGGTGCCATGATTTTGGCAAGTGTAAACATTTGAAGGTAAAAATCCTGCCTAAAAGGAGATACAACAAGGTTCCCCCTTTCAGGACAAGCCCCCGCCCACTCGTTACTCTTCAACCCAATAAGGGTGCCTTAGTTGCGATTTAGGGCACAGTAATGGCGGGGTGACGAGTAGGCAGGGCTTGGCTCCAATGACAAGGAAGAGGAGCCCTTAGCAATAAAGCCAAACTAGTATCAAAGTGGCAAACAGCTGTCATACCGGCTTTGCCGCGAGCGGACATCTTTTGTGTGGCGCCGTTCTTTGCGGCGTCCATCTTTATCCTCTCCAGCTGCTGCTCTAGGTGAACAGAGCGCCGTCTCTCTTCCTGCAGCTTCTTCTCCGCTTCCAGAGCCTTCATATTGTTCTCCTCCACCCTCCTCTGCAGGACTGACACCAGCTCCATCAGCCGGTCCCTCTCCACCTCGGCGGCCTGACACAGCGCTCTGTATTCGGCGTACTGCGCCCGCAGCTCCGAGCTGTCACACACAGGGAGGGAAAACGCAGAATGTGATCTATGTAACAATGTATATACAGTGACAGCACCATTCACAACCAGGCTTCTACGTTTCCTTACAGCATGTGCAGTGTATAACCCGTAGTACAGGTCACATTTAGGCCTCATTCACATGGGAAACGGCCGGCACGTACAGCTCCGTGCTGCGTACACGGCAGTATCGGCAGCTCCCGGGAAGGGCAGGTGCTGCGTGTGATTAGTACTCAGCCCCTGTCCTTCGCTATGGGAGTATGCGGCCATACGCCGCCCTACGCTCACCCACCCTGCACGTCTGTGCAGGTGCGGGTGAGCGTACTCGTACGCCGGCAGGATGGATCCTGTCTGCGTCCGAGCCGGGACACCCGCACCCGTACGGACCTGCACATGAGGTGAGCGTAGGGGGGCGTATGGCCACGTACTCCCATAGAGAAGGACAGGGGCTGCGTACTAATCACACGCAGCACCTGTCCTTCCCGGGAGCTGCCCGATACGGGCGTGCACGCAGCACGGAGCTGTACGTGCCGGCCGTTTCCCATGTGAATGAGGCCTAACACGCATGCAATTGTTGCCTGAACCCCTTTATTGAAAAAAAGGATTGCAACCGTGATCAGTAGATATCGGGTGCAATGCTCTGGCTCCTGCTGACTCCTCCTCCTGTCCATGTTGTCCTACCATGTTATGGACATTCAGTAACATGTGACCATGTTTACAGATTTAGGATAATATGATTTATTCTAAAAGACAATTAACAATTATGCGTTCAGAGTGTATGTATATCCTAACAATGAACTTCTCTTATTTGCTTCCTTTTGGGCCCACGAAATATCCCATTGATCGTGTTTTGTTATAATCTGGTCAATAAGTGCAAAAAAATATAAAAATACCTGTTGATCCTGCCCGAAATCCAGTGAGCCAATAACCTGTGCCTATCCTGAAGTGTTATCAGTTACATTGTTCTCTCTGTGGGCTACAGAACACCTCCACCTATCTTATAGTAATAAGGAGAGGACGACGTGTTCTATAGTCCTAGAACAGTGGTGGCAAACCTCGGCACTCCAGCTGTTTTGGAACTACAAGTCCCATGAGGCATTGCAAGGCTCTGACAGCCACAGACATAACTCCCAGAGGCAGATGCATGTTGGGATTTGTAGTTTTGGCACAGCTGGAGTGCCAAGGTTCGCCACAACTGTCCTAGAACAATAGAAATCGCCAGCACTCCGTAAATGAAATAAAAAAAAAAAGTAAATTTATTTGGACTAAACGTCACACGTATTGCATAATCCAACGTTTCGGGACCACGCAGGGTCCCTTCGTCTCATCTCTGCCCTGATGAGGGGACCCTGCATGGTCCTGAAACGTTGGATTGGAGTGCTAGTGATTTCTATTGTTCATTGACTGTTGTACACGGCGCCATCCGTGATTGTCACTGCGAGCACCGCTATTTTCACTTGGACCGGAAGCGCTGTAAGGAGTGCAGGGGGACCTACTGTTTTCTGGAATTCTACAGTCCTAGCACATTTCTTGTAGTAGGGTAACAACACTGGATACAGTGCAGTGAGTGAGCGTTGTCACCTTAGCACAGGAAGTGTGTTACCTGTGGGATCACCAGGTAAAAATAAAAGTAAAAGACCAGAAAAAGAAAACTAATGCGGCCATCACCAGGACTTTCCATCTGATTCACGCGGACATTCTAGGTTTTGAGTCCTGTGTGTGCTATGTCCGTGTTCCAGTCCAGCTATAACCCAGACACAAAATGCTTCTTTCTCCCCGGGCTGTCTCTCCTTGCTCTACTGGCTGTCTCTCCTCTCTCTCTTTCCTGGCCATCTCTCCTCACTCTCTCCCCTGGCCGTCTCTCCTCACTCTCTCCCCTGGCCGTCTCTCCTCTCTCTCTCTCCCCTGGCTGTCTCTCCTCTCTCTCTCTCGCCTGGCTGTCTCTCCTCTCTCTCTCTCGCCTGGCTGTCTCTCCTCTCTCTCTCCCCTGGCCGTCTCTCCTCTCTCTCTCCCCTGGCCATCTCTCCTCGCTCTATCCTGTATATTCTCCGAAAAGGCAATTCCCGCACGGCGTTAGAGTGTTGGGGTTTTCCTCGAAGAAAAGGTGGCAGCCCTAGCCACCACATCTAAGGATTGTCAGGCTGCAATATATGACACTTTGTTTTGGGGTGTGGATGCACTTTAACAGTCTCCTAGGCAGGCCGGTGCAGTCAGAGAATTCAGAGCAGTAATAGGGATTTGACGCCTTCATATCGCACCTTCCAGATGAAGAAGCCATGCCGATGACAGGAGGTGGAGCTGCGACGGTCTCTACCAGCTCGTGTCCCAGTTTGGAAACTGTCCTGCTTACAAAGATAAAATAAGAAGTGCTATAAAAATCTCTCGCTTGTCTCAGGCAGAATCAGCGTCATCTGTCCCAGTTCATGAAGCCATTACAAAGCCAGACTGCCAAATATACACCTTAAAAGTAGAACTCCGGCCTTTATTTTTGTGTGTTTTGGATGGAGTGGAGGAAGGGGAGGGTTATTTTTGGGGGGGGGGGGATCTCTCTAATGGGACACATACAGTAATATATGACAGAGTGGGAGACCTTGCAGAATCCAGACAGCAATAAAAACAAGACAGGGGATCCAGCCTTTCCCTCCCTTTCTAATGCAAAATAAATACATTCTGAAGCAGATATAAACCCCTAAAGGCCTAAAATCTCATATAATCTAATAAAAGTATTTTTTTAAACCTGCAGCTTTCATTAAAAAAAATCCCTGGAGATGCTAAAATGACTGTCCTTGTTCAAGTACTTCCTGTTATAGGGTGACAACGTTCTGCCCCTGTCTCCCAATTGCACTTTTGCATTGTCACCCTGTCACATGAAGACTACAAGCAGCTGTCCTGACACATATTACACAGGCATGGTCCACTGTTGTCACCATCACAATTCCTCCACTCCCGAAAGAGGTGCCACAGAGGGTCACATGATGGCAGACTTAAGTGAGTGTAATGGGATTTTAAATTTGTCAATGGAGGGGAGAGAGGAGGGAGGGACGGGCAGAGCTGTGCAGAAATACAGCATACATATAGATCGAGCAAGTATAGCTGCTCTTGTGAATAAATAAATAGAAACAGATGCATAAAGTATTCATTATAATTAAGGATGCACTGATACCCAAACTAGTATCGGTGCAGAGGATTTGGGCAAGTACTGGGCCAAATACTCCGATGCCTAGCCCGTCCGGTATCAGGAATACTTCCGGTATCAGGAAGCTGGGCAGTGCGTCATTCCGTCATCACGCTACCCGGCTTCCTGATTGACCCGGAAGCCGGCTCCATGGCCAATCAGGACTAGCCACCCAGCTTCCAGATTAGCAGGGAAGCTGTCCCCGTGCTTCTCGTCACTAGGTGACGAGGAGGCATGGAGCCGGCTTTCTGGCCAATCAGGAAGCCGGGCGCCGTGTAATGATGCGGCGCCCGGCTTACCGATTGGTCGGGAAGCCAGCTTCATGCTCCCACGTCACCTCATGACGAGGGAGCATGGAGCCGGCTTCCCGGCCGATCAGGAAGCCGGGTGTCGCGTCATTACACAGCGCCCGGCTTCCTGATTGGCCAGAAAGCCGGCTCCATGCCTCCTCGTCACCCAGTGACGAGAAGCAAGGGGACGGCTTCCCTGCTAAACGGGAAGCGGGGTGGCGAGTCTTTACACGCCGCCTGGCTTCCTGAATGGGACTTCCGGTACTCGGTATCGGTGAGTACCGAAAAAACATATCGGTACTCGATACCGAAATACCGGTATCGGTGCATCCTTATTTATAACAATGTTATTGGCATTAGGCTGAGCTGTCATATTCAAATACATATCAAATTAAAGCACAAAAGATAATAAAACAAAACAAGAATGGATCAATGCAGCCAAAATACCCCATGGGCACCCATTATATACTGTTTCTTTAAATGCCTGAAAAAACTTCAGGGCGGTATTACCTAGCTGAGCCCATGTGACCGCTGCTGTCAGACAGTGACCGCACTGAAAGCCGGTGATCCATCCCGATCCCATTATGTGACACTTCTGCTAAAGTTTTCATGCTGGACGGCCTTTTAGGGGAACTCTAGAGAGAAAACACCGATATTCAGGAATTATACTCAACAAATGTATAAAATGTTAATTTGGCTCTGCGCTGTATAATTAATTACTTAGAAAGCAGAAAAATTGCCTACAGCCGTTAGTATTCTGCATTTCTGTACAGAGGACTACAACTCCCAGCAATACTTTATAAAGAAATGCAGAATGGCAATGGCTATAGGGGACTACAACTCCCAGCATTACTCTCTACAGAAATGCAGAATAACTCCATCAGTTATAGAGGACTACAAAAAACATGGTCACAGAACTTAGGTACACACAGAAGATAAAAGGCAATCACCTCATCTCCTCCTCGCGGCGGGAACATCATGTAGCTGGGACCTTTTGGCTAAGATCAAGTGTAGTATCTGTTCTTATCAGTTTTCGGTGGGGAAAAGAACCGTCCTTGCGGGGGATGGTTACTTAGTACTCGCTGGAGTGAAAGAGCGTGTGGGGCGGCTTCCTGTGAGAGGGGAACCGCTCAGTACATGGCTTTCTGACTGAACGGATGCGAAGCTTGGTCTGGCTCGAGGGTTCGGGGGCGGCAGAAGCCCGTGGTGTTGTGCCCCCTGGGGGTGGCGTCCCAGGGGTGCGCAGAAAGTCACATGGGTATGGGACCCCACTTGACTCACTGTGCACTTGGTCACACACCACCTTGCTTTTTCTGCACGACGCCTCTTGGACAGGCCTTATGGCTAGTCCGGGGCAATATTTTTGCACTCCGGCCCCTAAGGCCTGTCAGCGTGGTGCACTGACACTTTAGTATTATTTATTGCACTCTATGCACGATGCACGAATGCTTTTTTTTGATTGAAACCCACAGATTGCTGAAGGTGCAGGTTCCTTCGGGGCCTATTCCTGATGTAGGGAGGAGGTTCTGTGCCTCTTACGGGGGTCTCTGCCTCCTCCCACCCAGGAAGTGGGTCTCTCTTCGGGAGAGCCCACTTGCCAAGTACTATGGGGGACCTGTTTCGGCAGGTCCCCAGAGGAAAGGTCCACCGGCCTTCGGGTTGGTGGACCATAGTATCTCAACCCCTGTCAGGAGCCTTGCGCCCCGGGGGGTCGGGAAATGGGTCCCTTCTTCGGAAGGACCTTGCACCCTTGTGCACGTTTTTGTGTGCTGTGATTTCACGGTTCACTTTTTTTGTTCACAGGGGGAAGTTTGTTGAGATGCACGTCCACGGGCTTCAAGAAAAATCATGTAGCTGGGAGAGGCGGTGGGCTGTGTGATCAGGAAGCTGCTTGCTGGGTCCTCCCGGCTGAGGCCCCAGCACTGCTTCACCTTTTCCTTGCAGGCTGCTCTGCCTGACTCTGGCCTCACTCCTCTTTGGACGGTCGGCCCCCCCACCATCTCTTGCTCTACCTCGCCAC